TGCCCCTCTGTCCCCCTCCCCCTCTGTCTCTCCTTCTCCCCCTCTGTCCCTCCACCTCCGTCCCTCCCCCTGTCCCTCTCTCCCACTCTCTCAGAGACAAGGAAGGGCTGCCAAAAGTGCCGCCGCTGTATTTGCCCCTTGTTTGTTGACGTGACCTCGACAACGAGGCGGCGAGATCCGACCCAGAGCGGCCAAGTGGCAAGGCTGGAGAGGTTTGTTTGACTGTTTGAAAAGACGACATGTTTACTGCTCAGTCGACAACAGGAGGAACACGTGCTCCTGTCGTTACAAGGACTCTACAAATTTACATAATCAAATACAGGAACGGCTCTTTACAGAGAAGAAAAGAAAAGTGAAAACGCCGAAGGAATAATAGAACAGTAGGAAATGGCAGAGTGGGTTTAAGAATTGAAGGAGGGAAAAACCTGGAGGATAACCCCCCAAAAAGATTTTTATGAAATGAATACTTTAGAAAAAATATTGTAAAACAGCAATGCGCAACACGAATGACAAATTGACCGAGAAATCGAGTGAAGTGGATGCTTTAGGGAAGAAAGAGCAGACAATAAAACGTCCCCTCCCACCTCCCTCCCTTATCCTGAACTCTAAAGGACCCCCCCCCCCCCTCTTGGGTAAAAATTATACACAAAAAGCTATCGGATATCTTGATAATAACTATCGTTTCAAGCACTAGATACGAATGCTGAGATGATATATAAATTCATAAATAAATGAGTAAATTTGATTAAGGTAAAAGAAAAGGTTGAGTTGATCAAAGAATATAAACGTGTCATCCTAATAAAAAAGGCTCTTCAGCTATATGCTGAAGCTTTCGATAGGATCCAGGGTCAGAAAATAGATTACAGTCATGTCAAACCGAATAAGATCATCAAATATTCATGGAAGCGCTTTCCATTACCTTGATTTGTGATATCTTGTCTTCTCTATTCCTGCTCGAAACGCCATTCATTCTGCTGCAAGAAGTTACAATTGAACATAAACAGCAGAGAACAAATGATGCTATGCTTCTTCATACGTTACCCAGGGCGTGATAAAACGTTCATAAAAAAGCTTATAAGGACAGGAATCTCGCTACACTGTAAATACTGTAGATTGTTCGTTAAACACTGTCAATAACTGTTCGCTATCCGAGACACTTTAGGTGCCACCATTTCGCTAGAGGGCTCGCGATTATTATACAGCTTTCGTAAAGTGTCTTTAAAACTAAGAGGAGCTGGTGTGTTGGCTCTCAGTGTTTCACACGCACGCTTAAAAGATGACAAGGACGTTTTCAAGATTTGACATCGCTATCCTTGTATGTGTTTCTGTTGTCAAGTGTTTTCAGGATATTTTATTATGATAAATACACATATCTCAGCTCTTTACCCTTTTTTAAAAATATATTATATTATTTAGAGTCAGTTTAAAGAAAACTTTTTTTTTGGGGGGGGGGTGGGCTTACTGCAACATGGGCTCCTTGAAAATGAATATGTGAAAATGTGGTATTGTGGAACTGTAAAATGAAATCTACGATCACTTTGGATTACAAGTTTTCACTACCGACATTACACTCCATAAGATTTAAATCAAATTTGTTTATTTGTATGTGTATGTCTGTGTGCATGGGAGAGGGCATCACTTCTTCATTCACATGAACAAATTGATTTTTTCACACTTACTGGGGGGTTTTTTGTACTTGGGGGGGGGGGGTTATCAGACGGGCCAATGCCCAATACTGCTATACATATAAGCATGAAAAGACAGAAAATATATCATTAGGAATTTATAATTCTTCCAGTAACAGTGTTTCGTTTACGAAAGTCGTTAAAGGATAAGATTTTTTAGATAAATGAAAAGCCACAGTAAAAGTGTCAATCTCAGTTTCTCTCTCCGTCCCACCGCCTTCTTCCTCTCTCTCTCTCTCTCTCTCTCTCTCTCTCTCTCTCTCTCTCTCTCTCTCTAATTTTCTCTTACTGTATTTTTTATGTGAAAAGAGAGCAATTGAGAAATGGAGAAAGATAGAGAAAGAGAGGGGGAGAGAGAGAGAGAGGGAGAGAGAAAGAGAGAGAGAGAGAGAGGAGAGAGAGAGAGAGAGAGAGAGAGAGAAAGAGAGAGAGAGAGAGAGAGATGTATATATTGTACACTTACGCGTTCATATTCTGGTTCTAACAATTGGCATACATTCACAGAACCTTCAACATAAACTCTGAAAATCTGAAACTCCTCACCAAGCACGTAGTTTTTACACATATACAAATAAAACGTATTTCAGCTAAAACCAGAACAGATACACAGACACACAAACAAATACACACACACACACTCACAAACACACACACACATGCCTGTACACACTGTCTCACACACTTACGCGCACTCACACACATATAAGCACATGCACATGCATACACACACACACACACACACACACACACACACACACACATATGCTAAAATACACAGGTACTATCATGAACAGGCACACAGCCAAAATGGCTGCCATACTTGTTTAATAATGTATCCAATTTCAATAAAACACTGTGAAAAGGGCGAATAATGTTTTCAATCATTTGTACATTGAAACGAGATCAACTTCCTTCAATGTACAGTGAATAATTCGTTCTCTCCAAAACCTCGAAACACTGCGTATCCCAGCATTTCTGAGAAAGGACTATTACGATAATAGTCGAATAATCAAATAATAGAAAATAAAACATTATTTTCAATAGTCATGTAAACAAAAACATTGGAAATAAGAGCCCGAAACATTGCACGTAAGAATAAATTACAGCCACTTTGCGTGAATACTTGAATCGAAGAGCCGGGAGAACCATGTCTTGAGGAATTTGCCACAGCTTGGAAAAGGACCCTTGTGTGAATACTTGAATTGAAGACATGGATGACCTTGTGTTGAGAAAACAGCCACAACTTGGAAACGGACCATGATAAGAATAGAATTAGCCGTAAGACTATTAGTGTCAGTCTATTCCGTTCTGTGTCCAAGGTTAGAAGCTCCTGTATTGACGTCTGAAAACGGACAAAAAAAGTACTCTGTAAAATGTCTATGCATTATGTGATGTCTACCAACGGCCTAAAACACTAAATAAAGTACCTATTTAGCAGCTACGTATCTAGTAATTTGAAAAGTAAACAAAAAAACAACAACCAACAAACAAACATACAACTACAAAATTCTTTGATCAGGCAGTCTGTCAGGCGGATTCCTTGTCTGTAAGACTACAAATTTCCGTTTTCCAGATGTTTCAAAATATATGTTGTAGCGGACACATACGTCCGATCAGTAGCAAACCAACGGCAATATTTCGACTCGTTTAGAACCATCATACTCACATCAGAAACACGATATTTGAATTTGCATCTTTCAAAGTAAAAACCATGTCGTTACTTGCTTTTTAAAGTTTCACATGAGAAAATAAGGTTGGTAAAATTTAAAGAATCTACATGAATAAAGAAGTTACACTTCAAAACGACGTATTTCAAGTGTTGAATAACAACTAGTATGCGTCCTCAACGAGTAAAAAAAAATTAATAATGCTATGACCTACCTGGTTATTCAGAAGCAGTTTCCAACAAGTTTCCTACAAGCTGGTCTCCGACGTAATTTTCTGGTCCTCGGTTTCCTCGGGTTCAAGCTCACTCTGAAGTGCAACGGCATGGAGACGCGAACAATACGACAGCGTTGAAAATGGTGGTGATGATAACGATGATGAATTCTGCGACGTGGATCGATGAAAACGATGATGAAAGAAGAAGCGATGAGGACGGGGGCGACGGTAGGATCATAGGCTGGAATCCACAACCATGCGAGGTGGTGGGGGCATCACTGAGGAAGAGACAAAAAAGACAAAGTTAATAATAATATTATGTAATAAAATAGCAATAATAATAATTTAAAAAAATAATCCGTTTAACAAGCTCTCTATCTGCGTTTCACAGTCTATCGTAGGCATTTCATGGTATAATCATGGTGTTTTCTCAGAGACTGGAAGAATCAAAGTTGAGCATTCACACACAACACACACAAGTACACACACACGTACGCGCACATGTTACTATGGTGCAAGAGGCAAGGGGAGGAGGGAGTGGTTTGGGGGTGGTGTGAAGAATCGGATTGTTGTATCATCAACTCGTTTTCTGGGAGTTTTATATTGTCATCTTTTCTCCTCTGTTTGAGCAATAACGTCACTTCGTGTATTCAAGAAGGCGTATTTCGAGCTCAAAGGAGCCAGGACGCCCTGGTTCTTTTTATGTCTTTATTTATCGCCAGTTGACAAAGCGCACACTTCAGCAACAATGCCAAACGAGCCACTACACGACCATTGGCCGATAACACGAGAGACTTGCGGTTCTGTGGAGTCAAAGGTTATCCGCATATCCGATTGTTCCACCGCTTATCCGATTGCTGTATCCGAGTATTCGATTGTTCCACGGGCGCTGCGAGTCTACACCTCTCGTGTTCTTACAAACGAGGATCGTGTGACATCATTGTTTTAGGCTGAAAGCGACCGTTGGATAATCAGTTGATTTAGTAGTCAGATTAATTCTCTTATTTCCTGCGCAGGCGTACCGCCATCTTTGTGACCTGCGCATGCGCTGATGCTTCATTTTCGTTTCACTTTAATCTGGCTTTCTTTCCTCGCACGCCCGTGTTAAATTAATGAAGCGTGCCAGAAAGGGGCATCCTTTTCCGCCGAAGACGGAAGGATAACCGACGATTATAATCACAATTTCCATTACAATACCACACTGCTTTTGATCTAATTTGCATAAACGCCTTCGACTAATAAAACAGAACGAGAGGAGACTGGAACAAAAACTTCCAAGCTGATTTTGTCGTTTCGCCTTGACCTCTAACATCTTGGTGGGCTGCGATTTAATGATCCTGAGATCAACAATACAGAAATGGGGCAGCGAAGAAAGTCGGAAGACTCCCAGCTTGGTACTGAAGTCTTTAGTGATGTAAATGTGTTGGGTTATAACAATGGCGGTGGCTGTCTCAGTAACGTAATGATAATACTGAAACATCGTCACAAGCTGGGTTTTTTTCTTCTTCTTTTTTTTCTTTGCCTCTAATTACTACAATAGGAGTGGTAGGAGTGAACGCTAATGTAGAATACACTGTTTTTGCGACTGAACATATTGATTACAATAGTTAAACCAGGCAGTTCTTCTACGAAACACATACGGTGTTCTTTAGAAAAGTTGTTCTTTTGCCACACTATCAATCATTACTTCCAAATCGATAAAGCTTTACTAGTTTTGGAACATAGGAGCTTTGAGGGAGGCGATATCAGGAATAGAACCAGATCAAAATCATTGAAGAGCCCCTATGACCATACGCTGTTGCGAGCGTTGTGAAACTATTACTAAACTAAACTAAAAGTCGTTGAACGGCTGATCATAATTGGAAGACTCTTAGATCAGAATCAAATTACACCAAAAGAAAACAACGACCAACCTCGTGTCCGTCGAAGCTAAAGATCATATTAAATAATTATTGATAAACAGAGCACAACTCGCTGTTTCCAAGACAACCAGTGGTCACTTCCCTGTGGAAGGCGCCCAACACACGTGTCCAGTCAAAAGATCTTCTCAGACGCGGGATCACGAAGGGGAGATAATTTGTTGTGACAAGAAAATGGCCAATGCGAGCTCCGCGCGGCCCTGAGTAACCAGTCAATAAGGCAAGGCGCGCGTGCGAGGCGTCAAAACGAGGCTCACTTTCTAATGAGAGGGATCAATTTCAATCTTAAATGTCTTCGCCCGCCATCGGCGAGGAGTATAATCATTTACTCCCTCGTCGACCCTGTCTCGCGTGCCTTCTTCAAAACTCCCTCAAAAAGCTATCACCGAATACAGACAGGGAATGCACGTCATTGCCTGTGAGACCCGTCTTTCTTCCTTCATTCCTTCCTTCTTTCTTCTTCTTTCAATTATTGAAGATGCCTCTTTGTATCCTGTGTCCTTTCTTTCCTTTTCGCCATACTTACTTTAGGGTTTGTTTTTGTTTTACCACTGTTCTAGCCCCGTTTCTTCTAATATCAATTTATTTTCAAATCTTTTTTCATTATGCATGTACGTTTTCCCAATTAATAGTACGTCTGTACTTTTTGTTCAGTAAAGTGGTACTTTATTTAAATGTGCAATTCTTTTAGAGCCATACATTCGATCCTCAACTCCTTTATAAAATGCCATTCACTGGTCATTTTCAACTTACATGCACTCTTTCAACAAATATTCCCTTAGCCCCCGCCTCCACCCTTTCCTCGTTCTACACTCGTATACGAACGTTTGGCTATACCCATCTGTCTGTCTGTCTGTCTGTCTGTCTATCTGCCTGTCTGTCTGTCTATCTGCCTGTCTGTCTATCTGTCTGTCTGTCTGTCTGTCTGTCTGTCTGTCTGTCTGTCTGTCTGTCTGTCTGTCCATCTCTGCCACATCATCTTTCTTCTACCCCAACCTCCAATCACTGCTTCCTTTCTTTTCTCTCTATCCTCTCTCTATCCTCTTATACCCCAAACGCCTAGTCCGTTGTTGCATTCCCTCCAACCCTCTCCCTTTCCTCCTCCTTCTCCGCCCAATCTTCCAATTAATAGCCCGCCCTGAGACCCCCGTGTCTGGGCTTACTGCTCTGTTTCAGGATATTGGACACGTTCTCCTCACGCAGGGCGTATTCCCGAGGGGCGGGGTTCCATCCAGGGCCTGGACACTGCTTAGCTACTGGGACGGGTAAGCTCAACGCGCCGATATGTGAGCTTATTTTATAAACTCGTATTATGTGAGCTCATGACCTCATGCAGTTGGAAGCGTCGCAGAATTCTTACAAAAGTTTTTTTAAAAGTGTATTATCATGATAGCCTAGATCTTGCACTCCTACGTTACTTCTCGTTCACTGTGGAGCTCACAATTTGACTCACTCAATTTGAAAATAAATGAAAGTCAAGATGCTAGGTGCTGTGACAGGTCAACTTTATAGTGATACTGGTGTTTTGGCCTTCATTTGGGAACTCTTGGAGTGTATGCTTCGTGGCAAAGTTTTTTTTATATTACAAAAGTGCAAACGATAAGCACACACACGCAAACACACACAAACACACACATACACACACGCACGCACGCGCACACACACACACACACACACACACACACACGTACACACACAACCCCTCCACACACACAAACACCCAAGCACGTATACACAAAAAATAACCCCAGACCCACACATTCTCCCGACTCAGCATCCCCCCCTCCCCTCCCCACGTCTCCCCTCTCAACCAAGAAGTAATCACTGTGAGTGGGCAGACACTGCACTACTCTCACGTCGGACCCCGCCCATCTTCTCCCCACGTGTCCACCACACTCTAAGACATGCTTTGGCAATCACTAAGATAATAACATAAACGTTTTAGGCCATTGATACTCTACCCCCCTTAACAACAAGAAGGAAAAGGAGAAAAAGAAGAGAGAGAGAGAGAGAGAGAGAGAGAGAGAGAGAGAGAGAGAGAGAGAGAGAGAGAGAGAGAGAGAGAGAGAGGCCGATAGAGAGAAAAGAAGAAGAAGAAGAAGAAGAAGAAGAAGAAGAAGAAGAAGAAGAAGAAGAAGAAGAAGAAGAAGAAGAAGAAGAAGAAGAAGAAGAAGAAGAAGAAGAAGAAGAAGAAATATAACCTCCAACTATTTCTGCTTGTAATATCTTTTTCCTTTCACCTTTCCCATCGAATGTACATGCAGTTTATCATCTAAAGTATTTAATTACAAATCAATTTTGACTTCGCTTCATGGTTCGAGTAAAAGGATGTTGATGCAACATTTATTTAACCTTATTATGGCCTGCGCTTTATATACATTTGGAGCCCAAATAGAGATAGTGGATATTTTCTTGAATAGTTTCTGCTTGAGATTATGTTATTACTACAGGCATTAAACACACACTTGATCTCATTTTAACCTAGTTAAGGCGAGTTCGACAAAGGAAAGGAGGAAGGCCACTGCTTTTGTGATATCGGACAGATTCATGTCGTCTGTAAAGTGGACGGCCGCACACACTACAGTGCTCTCCCCTTCCGCCTCAATAGATCTCAGAGGTCCCCCTAACCGAACGATGCCTTCCGTCTCCAAATCGCCATACCACGTCAAGCGTGTAAAAGTTTGCTTCCACATCTATAGAAATATCATGATAGCATAATAGGAGACAGTTCCGAGTCACGTCCCAAAGGCCACGCGTTCCAGTAAATTCGCCACGCGTGACCGAGCGCAGTCCCAGCGTGACGAGACAAGGAGCATCTGTACCGGAAGTCAACAGTCTTCGGCTCCGGCAGACAAGGGGAACAATCGATGAGTCCGCGACCAAGGGACTTAATCCACTCTTTTATCTTTTCTTTGCACCCTGTCCTGGCCCATTCTCCACGCATCCAATGAGTCTGGAGATAATGCGTTTAGAAGGGAGAATTTGCATTAACAGACGGGCCAAACATTTCCATTTTTCTGCACAAGTGAAATTGATTCCCTATGAGGTTCTGTTCGGAGGCGGCGGGTGACATTGGCAATTTGCCTGGCGAACTAAACTGGACAATTTCTATCAGTCGGGTTATTTTAGAGAATGAATGTGATCGGTGTAAATTAAAGATATTGAAAAATGCTTCCGGAGAAAAAGGATAATTTAAGATAGAGGCGGTTTGAATAAACAGATTCACTGAGCGACGACGGTATCCCTTAAAGTAACTTTGAGAGTTATTTGAGACGTATTTGTTCTTAAAGACTTAAAACCAGAAATAAAATTGCAACAATAATTAAAAACTATTTTTTAAAGTTTTTTTAAACTGTGCA